ACTGAGGGTCTTATTCCTTGAATTAGGCACTTTCCTTTACTTCCTCAGATAAAAGAGCAGCACGGAGCTCGTGGTTATCGATTAGGCTGCGTTTATACTTTGCGGCAGCGTAGCGTAGCGCTTCCAGCGTACGCCAGCGGCAGTGCCGGGGAGAGGATGCATATCGATCTAGCGTTCCCAGCGTCACGCGTTTCGCCAGCGTTTCACTAGCGTTTTGCAGCGGCAGGGGAGTAGAGACTATGGGAGAGCTGGAGGGTACAAAACACATCGATTGCGCGTCTCTGACGGCCACATAGTCTCTACTCCCCTGCCGCTGCAAACGCCAGCAAAACGCTGGTGAAACGCTGGCGTTACGCTGGTGACGCTGGGAACGCTAGATCGATATCCATCCTCTCCCCGGCACTGCCGCTGGCGTACGCTGGAAGCGCTACGCTACGCTGCCGCAAAGTATAAACGCAGCCTTACCCTGTTCCATGACACGTGCCAGCATCCGCGGCAAGCATGACTTTATATGCTGCACGGCCAAAGCATTCTGACACATTTGTACTGGGAGGCCATAGTTGGTGTTCAGAGATAGCCGCAGCTCTTGCGAAGCCTCGTCCCTCAGTGGAAACTTCTTTCTCTAATGACACATTGCAGAGAATTTCGACTTTCTTCTCCTACTTCTCACAGCGGGCGAAGATGTTTCAGTGGCAAGTGGTCCGGAGGTCAACTCTCGGATCGACTCGCGTCCCAGGCTAACTAAGCCTTTTTATCCTCCACAGCTGGTGAACTGGTGTCAGATTCATCTGGGAGGATAAAACACTGTGTCGTACAGCAGGTGATCCTCGCAAGTCATTGTATGTATGAGCTACGTCTTATTCATTAGGCCAGTGGTGATTGTGAATGGAAGTCAAATGTGTGCCGCATCCTAAAAATTATGAACAATGGAAGCTTGACCCTTTGATTGATCTTTTATCCATTACAATAATTCATTCTCTGCGTTCGATACAGCTCTAGGCGAACAGTAGATACTATCGCTTCAAACTGTACTACGAGAGGACCGTGTGAGTCAGGAGATCCGACTTTACCCATGGTAATCGTACCAGAAAATCGTGAAGAAGCAGCGTTGGAAGTGACGTGTGATGTGTAGCATTCGCACCTGAATCTAAATGCCTTGAAGGAACGGTCCGCGATGGCCTATGAAAATGCACTAGGTTATGTGGGAAGGTAGTGCGGTCCGGAGTGGACAACCCTGTGCCAGTTTCGCGGCGGAAAGTTGTACGGTAAAGGAATTAAGGCGCAAAGTTGCTTCAGTGGTACATCCCTTTTTCCAGTGACTCCGCCTCCAAAGTCGGCCTTCCAGCCAAAAGTGCTCCCGGGCAAGTATCATGGAGTGGATGCATTCAATGTCTCTTGTAGAGTCATAGGGTTCATTACTGGGAATCAGCCGACGGGAATTGTCCCAGCGCGCGGTCTTTTCGGTCTTTTACCTCTACAGTTGTTTGAGGCTAGAGGAGGCCTGACGAATGCGTTTCCAACGTTCCCTTTGGCATTTTCTCTTCATAGACGGTTCACTTGGCGAATTTTCTTCCACATTTCTGCAACATCACCTAGGCTTTTTATCGCGGACGTGCCTTGAACGTACAAGTTGCACTAAAAAGCACATCAACTCTGCTCGTCGTGACAGCTCGGATCTTCTGACTCACACGCCGACCATCAGTCTGAGGGAACGCTCATACTTCGCGCCTCGAGCGAACGCGTAAGTTTGACCGACTGCGGTACTCCTCCAGCACATGACTGAATGATTCTCTTGATATTACTGAGTCGGTACTACGGACAACTTGAACTCAATCCCTTTGAACGATCCTTCTCTTTTTCTCTGCACTCTCTCGTCCGCATGGCACTCTATGGCCGTTGTGACTTCGCTCACTCCAGCTTTTCACCGACTATAAGTAGCTCACCCACCCCGGAGTCCCCTCCCCTTGAAAAATCCCGTTTCCTGGCTCGCCATACGTTTTTTGCACGTTTCGATGCTTTGGCAGCCGCTGCCCTCTATCCGTCTGCGTCACAGGGTTTCGCAACAGGACCATGCGGTCGTTGACAGTCGCATTTTTTCAAATCGCGCGGTGGAATCACTCGAGTCGCAGAGTATGAACGCGGTTTTAGGATGACGGCGCAAATTTGAAAACCATATCTTGGAAAAAGTGAAACAACAGAATTCCAAAGCGTTGAACTAGTTTATTTAGAGGATATACCGTATGTATTCTCCTCATATTGACTGTGTTTTGTTTTCAAGAGGCACAATGAATCCCGTGATAAAGATAAAGCAAATAACAATATATTTTAGATGTCAAAACACACACATACAGTAAAATAGTAGGCAGAAAGAACCGCAAAAACCCATATAAGTAAAGCAAGTTTCAAAGAAATAATACCAACAAATGTGCTGTAAATTAAAATAAATTTGAGAGCTCATTGATTTGCAGTGCTTGAATGAGACTTGTGAGAACGTTCTGGCATAACAAATGGCAAGCAATAAGAAACAAATAAAAATTAGGGATTCACGAAAGATACGAGGATATATCGTGTTCCTTTGGTAGTTGGAAGACCTTCGTGCAGATGCGTCAGTCGACCCGGGAACATCATCGCCCAGCCTGAACAAATTTTGTTTGATTCTGAGGATTTTCTCCAAGAAGAGAGTGTAGGACAAAATTCCCAGTGGTTCATCTCTTTCGAGGGTTGCGCTGGGCATTCTACTTCCATTCAGAATCGGGCGCATTGGATGTAATATGCTGCTCAAATGGACAATGACTTAGGTGCCAATCCCGCAGTTCCAGTGACGTCTTCAGGACCAAGACTGCGTCCTACGTGGGTAATCCAGAGCAGTTGAGGGGGCGTACTTGATCACTGGGGAGAGGGGGTCGTACTTGCTCGTTGGGTAGAGGAGCGGTCGTAGTTGGTGCGAGAAAAATTGATAGTTGTTTTTTCTTCTTTGGAAAGGAAAGTGGTAGGGAGGATGGGGAGAGGGGGTCGTATCAGATAGGATGGGACGTATTTTCCGTGAATTTTCCCAGCAGCAGGACGTGCCATGTCGGATCACATGATTGCAGTGTTTATCCATGTGAACGAGAGGGTGTTTGTGCGCGGCTAGGTCAGCCTTCTACACCAGCTGATGCCATCCTGAGCTCGCAAACTCGGCGGGGGCGGAGCTCCTTGGGAAAGGGCGTTCTTGCACATTCACTACTTCTGCTTGTCGACCACAATTTTCGTAGAGACCTCTTGTCAACTCTCGCAAAGAATACAGGCTAACTCTTGTAAAATAAAGATAAACTCGAGCTGTGCCTTGATGAAAAAGGCTGTCATCAGGGTACAGCATCGTCGTGTGAAACATGTATGGGGAGGGGGGTTGTATTTTGTCGTTGCTGGGTGATGGGGGTTGTACGCATCTTCGAAAGAAATCTGCCGCGCCGAGAAAAATTTTTCCTGTTGACTTTTCGCGTAATTTTTCCTATTTGCTGTGTTCTATACTCCCCTCCCCCGCCGCTCGACGGAATGTCTTTGAGCGAAAATGTGGGAGATTGGTAGGTAGGTGCTAGGGAGGGTGGGGGATAGTACTGACACCACCATCTCACACCACGATGCTGTACTATGGCTGCCATAGCTGCGCATCAGCCCGTCCCCTCGTACGCCGTCCCGCTCCAAGGGATAACCACGGTATTCTGAGGCCCACAAGAAGACGAATGCCTTGAAACTTTAAGCAGAAATAGAACGTTCCACCTAAAAACCTTGGAAGGCACACATTCACACTGACTAGTTAACTTACCGACTTGATCAGCTGGTACTATACAGTTGTATCGAGGGTACTTCACGCCACCACCCTCGTAGTCCACTCCTTTCTTATTGAGGGCGATATCGATGCTGAAAAGAGATCAGGCTCGTCAATTCTCCTCCTTCTGAACTTTTTCCCATCCAACATTTCCAAGATAATGGAAAGATGAACCTGAAAGTGCTGGCGTCGTGGTGAGGTCTGAGTGACGGCTGTTCATCTGGACGATACCGCACTACGAACATCATTGTCGCTTCGACAGGCTGGAATGAAGGGGCAGTACAAAATGAAGGCGGTACGAGTAGCTAGCAATGAGGGCCGCAATACCTGATGGAAATATCCAGTAAAGACTTTCTCTTGAATAGGTCTCACGTACTCATCCAAGAAGTACAACCAATGCCTTGCATAATCGATCTGAAAGAAAAATTATATGAAGCATCTTGAGGGAAACAAGATCTTAAAAGAGCGCTCATTTCAAAGTAAAAATTCCAAACATAGTTTGTTGTCTTATTGCTATTTTTGCGGTACTTGTTCTATCTCCTTGAATCTTCTGACCTGAGCTTATTTTAAACTTTACTCGAATGCGATTTCTAGTTGCACTAGATATAGGGTCACGGATGGCTATGGAGCGGGCGCAGTTCGGCCACGGGGGGGGAGGAAAGGTTGCATTTTGAACTTTGCTACTTCCCATCGACGTGTCGACCCATCTAGAGAGCCTTTTCGTGAGTTGACAGGTTTCACCATTGTGGCTCGATGAGCTTGCTCCAGCTTCACAGGAGTTCACAGGTTTCATCAGGTAAAGTATGCAAACCGGAAGTAGTGGAGCAATGGAAGTGCATTAGGTTTCCCCCGCCCCCGCCCCCACGTCGCCGAACTGCGCCAGTAGAGCGTTGAAGCGTTATCGACTAGACGAATTTTGCGATAAGCGGATGGGCAGAAATGGACAGAGACTTGTAGCTTTTGTGCGTTCCTCATTGGGGCGCACTTCCTTTTATAACGGTAGAGTAGAGTATAGAGGAGAGGTACATCAATGAGAATGCTATAGTGGTTACGTCTCGGTCCATTTCACCGCCCACCCAGTAATCGCGGAATGCCGGAAGGCATACTTCCTCACTGATCGCATGAACATAGTCACGCGAACCACTGAGCGTATCTCAATGGTGCGCTCTTCCTGTTCGCCTGCAACAGAGAAGCCCATGGGTGAGAATGGAGTACATTCTCAAAAGTGACTCCGCCCATACGACCATGGTAGGTAGTAGTAAGTCGCGACTAAAGGGTATTGGCACTTCGCCGACGTAGCCATATGATTGTAACCTCGTCATCCGGGCAGTTGATTAGGGCGGTCGTCAACGGGCCGCAGCGCGTGCCAGGAACTATTTGCTTTTCCAGGCTAATTTAGTCATTTTTTCCACCTTGTGAAGATAAGGAGCTGCTAATCTGGGAAAAAGTAGCCAAAACAGTGAAAAGTTGGAAAAAATGACTAAATTAGTCTGGAAAAAGCAAATAGTTCCTGGCACGCGCTGCGGCCCGTTGACGACCGCCCTAATCAACTGCCCGATGACGAGGGTACCTATCTGAGTGAGCGGTGCAGACCCCAAAGAGGTAGAGCAGGTACTGAATCTGCTAACCATTGCTAAACAATATGCTGTGGAATCGACTCACTTGTCTCATGTGGATGTCCCTAGTGGGGACGTTCTCATAGCCGCCAGCAAGGCGATCATCCTGAAAATGAGATTCATTTTTCACGGTAATATTTTGAAAATATTGGACGGAAGGCATTGCTCTACCTTATTGGACCCGTCACTCCAATGGCCGAAGTGCTCCATTTCTTCGATCATTTCTTTACAAAACCTTTCAGATACCAGTGGGTAATCATAGACATCCGTACAGGCCTGTTCAATCTCTGTTTCCGGGTTGAGCAACCTGTGATATCCCGGATGGACATATCGTGCTTCCCAAAGCTGAAAAGATCCTGATCAGATTGACGGATAATTTTGATGGGAATGTGCTTCTTGCAAACAATTCATACCTTTCTATTCTCAAATATTTCCCACATTTCAGGGTGAAGTTTCCCTTTCTGGCATGACTTCAGTCCGTAACTCATCGCTGACATGAGGAATCGAAGTCCTTCTTATTGTCGACATACTAAAAGTGGCCTTGCAACTCGCTAGACCAAATTGCAAAGAAGGAAAAGAAGTGGGGAAATCCTCGAAGCTACCTTATCTCTTGCCCATTTGCAGAACGACATGTCCACGTCGAGGGACTTGTCATAATAATAAGGCGTTTTCATTTCTTTCATCTTCTCCTTGTTGATTAGTAGAGCAGTGGTCACAAATGGCACCTAAAAGTGTGGTGATTCTAAGGTAGTGAGCACAATTGATAGGGGAGGTTAGTGCCATTACATGCCCCGCCCCCAGATAACTCCGCCCTTTTTGCCGCGACACAATTTACATTCACATTTACTACATTTTACTATATCTACATGTTATACTAGTTTTCCACACATTTCATCGACTACACACATAGACCTTTGAATGCACAATACACTCAACTCCACCCCCGACGCTCTGCCCTTTTATTAAAGGCTGTTGGCACGATAAATCCCCCAAGACGAGTGGGACCAAAACTCCTG